TAGGTTTAGGGTTAGGTTTAGGGTTAGGTTTAGGGTTAGGTTTAGGTTTAGGGGGTTAGGTTTAGGGGTGTTAGGTTTAGGGGTTAATTTTAGGTTTAGGGTTTACAGCGTGCTTCTGTCTCCGGGCTGTTGTCGCCCTGTTGATGACGTCAGCGACGCGGTTTAATCGGGCGCAGCTTAGTCGAGCACCGTTTTGACGGGTCACGCAAAGTCAGCTGGGTGACTCTGGGCCAGTCCCCCTCTCATTCCCAGGAGGAACAACATGGCAAACGACTTTCAAAAAACTGACAAGAAAACTGCAGGAACTAGTTCAGGCAGTCACCAAAAGCCCATAGGGGACTTGTAGCAAACTTAAATGTAAGCAATGAAACCTACATTTATTGCCAATTGAAGTGGACTGTTCATGTTGCAGCTGCTGGTGATGTTGGAGGGCTTAGTAGCAGAGAAGAAGCAGCTGAATGAAACTCTGAAAGTAGAAAAACAACTCTATTGCGATTTGGTGAAGTGTCATAATCACCCTGACAGGTGAGAAAGATTATTCCCCTTTTTTAGTTGCAAAAAAAAGATTGGTATATATTACTCATTGCCTATCTAAAAAAGATTGTCGCTTCACAGTGTTGAAAAGGATTGGATGGGGGGATGTCTGTTTGTATGCCTATAATTTTCCACTCTTTTTTTCATGTCAGTACGGTAGTGACATTATGTTACAATTTGTAGGATCTATATTGTGTTCAGAACAAGTTGATACACCTTGTCATAATCTCCTTCCTTTTGTGCTTGGCCTCATCAACTCCAGACAAGAACAGATCCTTCAAGTAGAACTGGAGAAGATCCAGGCACTCCGTGGACAGCTAGAAAAGGTCCTTGGAAGAAGTGAGGAGCACCTGAGCAGGCTGGAATCATTGGACAGCATAGGAGGTGGGGAACAGGAGTGTGTGACAATCCTACCCAAGCATGCCTGCTGAGCTCTGGCCTTCCCACTACCCCTGGTGCAGAACAGAAGCTGAACTAACATAGCAAGCTTGTGTTGACATTGAAGAGGTTGATTAGTATTTGCTGGAAGTGGCATTTTTTTACAAGCTATGTGGGCATAATTCACATTCCTAATATGGGCGTGTCAGGAGAATGTAAATACATTTCAGTTTCTTCTTCCTTTCTAGTTGCACCCACTTTCATTTTCCCCTCCCTTCAATTTGGCTAAATAAAGATTATTCCTATCCCCATTTGGTGTTAATTGTTATGTGCCATATTTTATGTGCATACATTATAGAGACGTGGAGAGTAGGATTTTTTTTTTAATTTGCTGCATTTGTTTAATTGTTTTGTTTTTATTCTCCCCATGCTTTTGTGCAAAAAAATTCCTAAAGGTCTAGAATCAGCATAATCTTATTTTAGGTCATCTTAAAATTGTGATGACAGTATTGTGAAGAAATTCCACACAAATTTGGCCTCAGCAGAAACAGAATATGTCATGTTTTTAGTTGTATTTTGTGAAAACATGCAAAAGAACAATATGTGTTTTACTTTATTGGTTCTCCTTGCATAAAGAGAAAGTCTTGGTTTTCTTACCAGAAAAAAGTCTGCTCTCAAATAGCAAAGTTACTGGGGTTACCTAAGTTGATGTGGCTCCACATTCATGCCAACCACTTTCAGAAATTTTCTGTTAGGTGAATATAAATTCAATTTTTTTTTGTTGATTTATATAATCTTCCCCTTTTTCCTAAAGTCCCTTATGAAAAAAATACATTTATAGACCATCATTGAAATTTTAAATGATAGTACATATTCTATATTGTATTATATTCAGATAGTACAGGTTTAATGTTGATAACTTATGCTGGAAAGGAATGCTACCACATACACATCTTCTCCAGGAAACAATAAGGTAAAATCTCCAAAATCATTTGAAATTTCTCATAATTTTGAATATTGCCACATACAGGTTTCAAAAATCACACTAGTGTTTCAATATTTTGTTTTGAATAAGAGCATTTTTCAGTCATGTATTAGTTTATATTAGATTATGTTGTTTAAAAATATGTTATTTCAGATGAAATTTATTTGCTACTGAGTATCATTAAAACTTTGTATATGTTCTGGTATATAAAGGATGTCAGAGTAAACAAATAACATAAAAGTTTGCTCCTGTTTCATTCACTTCATAAACAGACATCCAACATTAGATGTGTCAGTATAATTATTCCCTCATTCCCCATTCAATCAATTCAAGTAAAGGAATATTAGGATTAGAAAGATATTCATTAAACCATCAGGATTGATTTAGCTGATGAAAATCTCTTTCCTTCAAAAACTTTAGAATACCGAAGTCTGATAACAAGAAAAATATGCAAGGACAATCAATAAATTACCATCACTTTTCACAGGTATATAAAATGAAAAGTGGTTTTTCTGGGCATTGATTGGTAGTCTTAATTAGAAAGATCTGCTGTTCTCTCCTAGCTCTCCAAGGAATTTATGAGTGCACTTACTCATGGGATAACGGGGACATTTGTTACTAACTTTGAAATGGCAGAAGATATTTTAAGTATGCACTATCTCTTCCACAGTGACATTACATTCTCTGAAACACCCTGCTTTGAGGCATGCAATCTAAATGTCAGTTGATTGATTTGGCCAGACTTGTGACACTCTATCCTTTGTTGCTTGTTGTTATAATTTTTTAACACGAAATTCACTAATGTGCGATGGGGAAGATCAGTGATTTGGCTTTGAAAGAGGCCAATGCCTACAACTTTGAAGGTGATCATTAGAAAGTCCATAGGTAATGTGCCTGAGGAACATGTGATAATGGCCTCTAATTTGCTCTGCTTATGAAAGCATCTGGTTGGCCAACGCCCAGGACAGACATTTCGATGTAATCCTGTAAAAGACAATTATTTTATTAGTATTATTCAGGAAGGCATACCAGCTCACTAACATGTCTTTATGCATACCAAAATACTCCAAATCCTTTAAAGTGCTGTAACAAGAATATTCACTGATAAATTACTGAAGGCTAATGAAAGACCAGAGAAAAATAGTCATTTTTTCAAACCAGAAGACCTACTTAGATTAAAAGATTTTTGCCATTCTGTTGTTTCAGTTATTTATGCAGCCATGCATGCTCATCTCTGACCAGCTTCTATCTGCAAACATATTTGCTTGGAATTAGGTCAAATACCACTTTTTTCTATCCAATTTATCTTCTGGCATGCTATTAGAACTGGAAGGGAAATTTTCATTGCCCTTTCTCTGTGAAATGAAACAGGCTTTGTGTGAGCGATGAGGGTTATTGGCTCCAGAGTACAGAATGACAGAGTGAAATCTGGACTCTTTAACTGAACTCACAAGAGACGTTATATGTGTGCTAAAGTGCTTGCTCTTTTATATAGGCATTTATGTGATTCCTAGCAATATAAACTTAAGAGTCAAAACTATACAGTCATAAATTGCATTATAAATTTAGCCAGATTCTGTAGTTGGGTGTCTGGTGTCTTATTGTACATGTCCAAATAATCGTGGCATGACAAAACCGTGCTCGACTAAAGCACGCCCAATTAAACCGTGTCGCTGACGTCATCAGCAGGGCGACAACAGTGAGCGCGGAGAAAGAAGGGTGCTTTAAATAGCGCTTTGAAAGCAAGCCGATTCAACTTAAGGTAAGGGTTAGGGTTAGGGTTAGGTTAAGGGTTAGGTTTAGGGTTAGGTTTAGGTTTAGGGTGAAGGGTTAGGTTTAGGGTTAGGATTAGGTTTAGGGATTAATTTTAGGTTTAGCGTTTACAGTGTGCTTTTTTCTCCG